TTATGTATCAAAGTTCCAGTTTTGGAGAGAGAGAAAGTCACAGTGGCAGGAGCTTAAGGGCGCTGGTCACATCACATCCATAATCAGAATCTGAGAATAAAGAACGAATGCAAGCTGCACTTGGCTTGCTTTTGCCTTTTTGTTCCCATCAGGGCCCAGACAATGAAGTCTTGCCGCCTCTATCTAGTGTGGGTCTTCCTACCTCAATTGTCCCTATTAAGCTAATCCCCCACAGACATCCTCATAAACTAATCCAATCTAGACAATACCTCATTAAGAATCTCTTTCCGGGGGATTATAGATTGTGTCAAGTTGATAATTAAAACTAACCATCACATAGCTCTTTTAAAAATCCCCATTACTGAAAGTAACTGTTTGATAAACAACATTGTTATGGTAGGAATGCAAAGTGCTGCATCTCCAAATGTGTCCAGAATACCTGGCTCCAAACTGCTGGGCTGACTGGACAAGTTATAGAATCTTTGGGAGGTGGGGCCCAACTAAGAGAACTGGGTCACTAGGGACAGGCCTTGAAGGTTATGCCTGCTTCTGGTTCCAACTGAAACTGCTTTATGTCTGTAACTGTGATACAAGAGTCTTGGTTCACACTGTGCTATCATCTAGTCTGCCATGCTGGCTTGACCATGGTGGGCTGCGTCCACTGAGGCTGAGCCCAAGTAAGCCTTTCTACTCTTAAGGTCATTCTGACAGTGATGAAAAAGGTGACTCATGCAAGCACAGAGTTCAGACTTTTTTCAGTGCCAAAGTAAGAATACATGTCTTTTTTTTTTTTTTTCCGAGACAGGGTTTCTCTGTGTAGCCTTGGCTGTCCTGGAACTGATTGTGTAGACCAGGCTGGCCTCAAACTCAGAAATCACCCTGCCTCTGCTTCCCAAGTGCTGGGATTAAAGGTGTGTGCCACCACCGCCCTGCAAGAATACATGTCTTTAAGAAGAAAAATCTGGTCACATTACAAAACAATTGAAATTCTTGGCTTTATTCTATCCATTTAAATTAAATTTTACAATTATGTTTATTATAATCATTTCTTCTTTGTAAATAAAAACATAATTTTTATTAAGGTAGCATTTTGCTATGTCGTCTAGGCTGGTCTCGAACTCTACACTCAGTCTTCCTGTGTTGGGCTCCCAAAAGCTGAGGCCGCAGGCATGGGACATCACTTTTTTTTTTCAAATGTGTAATGGGTTTTCTCTCCATTTATTAGTTATTCTTGACAATTTATAAGTTCTTCTGCATATTTCTAATCTACTATTGGTGATTTTTATTCCTTTCCCCTTTTGATTAAAGGCATATTTATCTACTTGATTAACCCAAAATCTGAAGGCTTCTGTTCAGTTCAGAGGTGAGTGATGAGCTATTAATGGGGAAAGTAGGTGGCCTAATAATGAAGTTACTGTAGAGTTAAGACAGGAAGACACATGTGAGACAGAAGGTCCTCATTTGGTACCAACAGAAGTCTCGGAAAATGAGCCTGAATGATCAGAAATTCATCAAGAGGCTTGTGCTAGCTGTGCAGGGAAGGGTCAGCAAGTGTGATTTGACAGGACCAAGAGCCCCAGGTCTTCCAAGGTCTGCTTAGGAGAGGGCATCGGCTTTCCTGTGTCTAGGAGGTCAGAGAACACGGAAGCTGGTTAAGCTCTCTGTGGGTGGGAACCAGAGCAAGCACTAGCAAGGAACAGGATTTTACAGGAATGCTGACTACCAGTTAAACCTGTTAATGGATCCTAATTCCCTTTCAGTTAAATCTTTGGGCTCCCTCAATTTAACATGACAGCAATGATCCTAAGACCACTTCAGTATCCATGGAAATATTAACAAGTAGCTAAATTAATCCTTGTCTAGTCTCGAGGCAGTACCATGCTTGCTTCAGATCTGGGTGGCCAGATCCTCCAGGCTTCTGTAAATCTGGACTTCATTTCTCAGGACCCTCACTTTCTCTGGATGGACAGAATGTAGGTGGGACTTATCTTCATGTGGAGCCACAGTGCCCACCTCTGTGGCAAGCTTTTTCCCCTTCCCACTTTTGTTTTCAACTGACCTTGGAGAATTTATCTTGCATGCTTTCTCCTAATATATTTAGATTTTATAGTTTTGCTCAGCATTTTGCTGAGATTCATTATTTTCTGGGAAAAATTTCAGGAATAATTTTAATTTGTGTTATAATTTTGGTTTGGTCTCTCCTCTCTAAGCTATGTCTATAAGCTCACATGTATATATGTACTCATATGTGTATATACATATTTCTATATATACATATCATAAGAAAAATTTTAAGAACAAAAAGTGTAGTCTACTTGGTTTGTTAATTTTTCATTCTAGAGTAACTGTATGTGGGGTTTAGATATTTAGAACATATTTATTTAATGCTTATACAGGAAGCAGAGAAGCACACAAATATAAAAGTAAGAGAAAGAATCTTAGGCATAGAAGAATAGTTATTTTAGGAAAATCTATTGAAATAGCAATGAATAAAAAACTACCTTTCAAACTATAGAATTAGCGAAGCAGAATTCTAGAATTAAATGTTATTAAAAAAGACAAAAGAAGCAACAACAATACTAAATGTGTGGAGAACATGAACACTTTCACAGAGAGGCAGAAACACAGAAGGCTTGCCTTATACCTTGAAGAGAAGCATTTAGTCTTGTTCTTCGTAAGAGAGATGTGTATCAGTATTTGATAGAGACTTCTGATGCTCAAGTACCACATTTTACTTTCTGTTACAAACTTAAAAAGTAGATAAAATATATGAAATAAAATAAATTTTTTTTGGATGGTAAGCAACCAGGGTAGAGAATCCCTAAAGAAAACAAAGACAAAGAAAACAGTAAGAAAGAGGGAGGGGGATGAAAGGGAGGGAAGAAGCAAAAGAGGGAGGGAACAGGGTAGGGAGGTAGGAAGACATCGAGCATTAAATATCCTGATGTTGTGAACCTGGAGATAATTCCCAGACTTCCAGTGTGGAAAGGAAAGCCAAGCCTTGGGTCGTGCTACTGAGAGGAGGATTTTGAGTCTAGAGTACAGGGCTGGGATTTGTGAGGCCAAGCCTGGGAGAGGAGAATAGCTCTGATGGAGGCTGTGGGGATTTTCAGGACACTCAAGGGTCTTTCACGGGTTATTACTCTGCACAGGCACGAGAGGAAAGTACCTGAGACTGGGTTCAAAATCCACTGAAAATCAGTATGCAGACTAATTCCTGGACTTCACACATGACTGGAAATAGCTTATGTTCATAGCAGCCTGAGTGGAATTGAATAGAATCCTAAGAAGTAGGGCAAAATTGGCCCCAACGACTGACTGGATTTATCCTTAAAAAGTTTAAAAGCAAGTCTTAGAATAGTCCAGTTGGCTTCAAATTCCTCAGTTGTACCTAACGAGACAATCAAATTATTCAGAATAGTAAAAGAAAGTCGACAACAAACATAAAACCACGATGTCCTCCTATAAATGTTTTTTTTTAAAAAAGGTTAATGAATGCAAATAGACAAAAACAATAGCACTGGAATACAAGAATGCTAACCTAACTCTAATAAATATTCTTTGTATGTTTGAGAAAACTTTGAAACCTGGACACTGTCATGCGAGAAATGGAAACCATATAAAAATAGGAAAATGTTGCCTGTGGTGGCTGATTTTTGCCAACCTGACTGACTTTAGATCTATGTAGAGAACACATGTGTCTGAGAATGAAATTCCAGAGAGGGTGAGCTCAGGAGAGGAGACCTATCTCCACACTGAATGGGTAGCACCATGTTATGGGCTGGAGTGCCAAACTGAACAAAATGAGGAAGGAAGCTGCTTTCTGACGGAGAACACAAGGCCAGCAGATGCCTGGGGGTGCCACCATGACTTGGTACCCTGCCATAATGAACTCTATCCCTTCTTAAATCATGAACCCAAATTGACCCTTCCCTTCTTGTACATAGTCAAGTATTATGTTAAGTATTTTGTCACAGCAAAACAGTTAACTTCTTAAGATCTCAAATATATGGAAACTCAATGACTGAAATGGACTAAGCTAGTGTGAGAGCTAATTTTGATTGCCATCTTGATTAGATCTGAAATCAACTCAGCAACATGCCTTTGGGTAGTCCTTGAAGGAATTTCCAGGAAAGATTAAGGTGAGGTGAGGGAAGACGCTTCCACAGAATGGGTAGAACTTTCTGGCAGCAGGACAAATATAAAGAGGTCCAAGAGAAAAGTATTGCTTGCCTACATGTAAGCCTTTGTGTTGATAAGTGGTATTACCATTTTTGTTACTGCTTTTTTTCTCTCCTAATAGAACCCAGCTTCTTCCTCCTACAGAATGGACTGATGACCAGAGGCTCTCCGGGTGCTCTTTGAGCCTTCAGCACTGAGCCTCGTGGACTGATCAGTCACTGGGTTTTAAACCTTTCCATTATACATACAGACAGCCATGGTTAGACTACCAGGTAGGTATTGTGTAAGCCAATCTAATAAAAGCTCCTTAGGAATAAATATATTATTTATTATCAGTTCTTTTACTCCTCAGAACCCCGACTAACATTGTAAGATTACCAATAAATTGACCATTAAGGAATAAGTAATCAGTACATTTAAAGACAGTAGTAGGAAAGACCCAATGTAGCAGTTCAGAGACATATTCTGAAGAAAATAACTGATCATCAGTGGTTGATTTACATACCATTAAATTGTCTAATACACATTTGATTAACTGAAAAGGAAGCAAGGGCCAAAATATTTGAATACTGTTCAAAAACTTTCAAATTAGAGAAAAATCAGAAGCCCATAGTTAATCTAAGAAGATAAAATGTGAAATTAGGATGAAGCAAATGATTGAAAACCACAAATAAAACCTTTAACATCAGAAAGATCATAGTCACATATGTACAGAAGTCCAGAGTTAGAAATGACAGAATTCTTATCAAGTATTGAAGGAATCTCAGGTCTCAGCCTAAACTTAAAAATTAACTTTTCCAGAGACAAGTTCTGGGAGAAGCACATTCCGAAGGCTTATACACACATTCCAGGAGAAGGGCCAAGGTAAGAGAATTAAAAGGTTATCAGGAAGCTGGGCCTTAGTGCAATAAACCTGGGTAAACAGGAGCTATGGTAAGATAGACTTAGCTAACACTCATTGTCATAAGATAATGTGTGACTATGAGTTGCCAAGAAACCAGGTGTGGGAGTGGCCATTTGAGGTCAGCCTTTGTGGTTAGCATTGTCTAAGAGATGATTGTAAGACTGTCCTCATAAACCCTGTGAAAACTGTATAAAAACTGCTCTTAGCTTTAGCTCAGGGTTCCTCTAGCCTGTGTGTGGGGGAACCCCAGTGCACTGGATCAATAAACCTTTTGCTTTTGCATCGAACCCCCTGTCCATTAGTGTTTCTGTGGGAGTACATCTTCCTGGTTTGGATCTTAGGGTCCAACAGTATGAAGCAAGTCAGAAAACAGTAGAAAGATATCTTTAATGTGCTGAAAGAAATCTTTCACCTAGAATTGTTTAACCAGTCAAAACGAGAAATAGAAAAAGGAGATACACTGTTTTTGTTGGAATATGAAATGTCCCCTATAAATTGATATATTTGAGCACTTGGTCCCTAGCTGACAGTTCTGTTTGGGAAGGCTGCAGAGGTGCATCTTTGCTGGGGGAGGTAAGTCACTGGGGATGTGCTTTAAGGTTTTGTAGTCCAGGCCCACTTCCTGCTCTCTCTTTGGAGATGCCATTAGGATCAAGCACTTTCCTGCTCCTAATAGCATGCTACCCTGCCTGGTGCCTGGTTTTCCCCACCACAATGGTCTCTATTCTCTGGAACTGTAAATCCAAACAAACTCTTAAGTTTATTGTATTAGGATCCTTTATCATAGAAAAAAAAAGAAAGAAAAAGAAAGAAAGATAAATAAATAAATAAATAAATAAATAAATAAATACAGGACCTGTTACAGAGGAGGGGCACCATTGCTGTGGTCAACCTGACTGTTCAAGTCTGCTTTTAGGCTTTTGTTTTGTGGAAGGAACATGGAAGATTTTGGAACTTGGGGCTAGAAAAGCTGTTGGATGCTGTAAGTAGAGATTAATGGGCCATTCTACTGAGAACTTGGGAGAAAGTAAAGCTGAGAAAAATGCAAACAATGGTACCTGAAGTTTCAAAGGAAACAGGGACCCAATTGTACTACGAGGCATTCATGTGGTATTTTGTCAAAGAATCCAACTTCATTCTGCCAGTGTTCCAAGAGAATTAGAATCAGGATGATTTATAAAATAGTGGACTAATTTATTTGGTAAGGGAGATTTTCAATTGTATAATATCTAGTCTGTGGAATCATTATTGCTTTTTATCACATACTATGCTTAAATGAGTCTACAAAAAGAGTAACAAGTTGGGTAGAAAGAAGTTTTAAAATGTACAGTTTAGAGAGGATACAGGCACCAAGGTTACAGCACATGTGAAAAGGAGGCTATATTCACCAAGGACATTAGTGCCATTAAAGAGAAGCTCTCACTCTGCAATGTAACAATAGGAAAAGTGTCTTCTGAGGCGAAGATCCCACCCACCAATGGTTCCTGTGAAATGAAAGAGCCTGAGAGGTTTCCATGCTCTTGGAAAATTTCCAGCCTATCGAAGATGCTGCAACTGTGATCCAAGGAGGCCAGGGAGCCTGAGGAAGCAGAAAACTTGATAGCATCATCTGTTTTCTACAGTTTTGAAGGGATGAAAGATCCAAGAATGAAGAAATTGGTGGATTCTTCTTTGGTGTTTTTGGAGAGCCACTGAGACAAGGCAACACATGGCAGGGTTGGAGTACCTGCAAGGAGATCCTGAGAGGCCCTTCATGAAATTATGAAGATGTAGCCTGGGCTATAATGAAGCCTTTGGAACGTTGGAGATGTCATAGTGAGAGGATGCCTGCCAAGAAGGCTGTATACTGGGAGTTTGCAAATGACTGAAATAACAAAAGAAAGATGACGGAAATCAACAAGTAGCCAATGTTAAAGTAAGTCAACCATGTTATTAATAACTTAAATGTATGCAAATTAAATCCCCAGTTAATATGTGAATATTGTTACACTGTATAAAAGTTCAGGACTCAATAATACACTGCTTATAAGAAATCCATATGAAATATAAAGACATAGATATAAGTAAAAGACAAAAGAAGAAGGGAAAAGTAACATTTTGTACCACATGCTGTGGAATACTTTCCGCTGAGCATAACAACTATTGTCATTGTCATCAAAGACCACCAAGATCTGGCTTGTTGATATTCCCTCTTAGAGGTTGGGGGTACAGAGGGTCATTAGCTCCTCACCTGTGATTTCAGCCTCTCCCTCCTGTGCTTCTTTCCTAACTGTATATAATTCTGTCCCAGTCATCCATGCTCTCAGGTAGGAGGTAGGGTTAGAGTATTTGGTATATAAGGTTAACCATGGAGATAGATTTGGGTTTCCATTCATCCTGTGCTGAGATTGTGTGTGTATGTGAGTGAGTGTGTGTGTGTGTGTGTGTGTGTGTGTGTGTGTGTGTGTGTGTGAGAGAGAGAGAGAGAGAGAGAGAGAGAGAGAGAGAGAGAGAGAGAGAGAG